CTTTCTAGTGGAGCAGCCATTCTTGGGAGAGCATGCTATGACAGATGTGGACTTTTTTCACACAATGCCCTAAAATACCAGGGGCAAGTAGGCTTGATTGAAAGAATAAATACACATCCGGAAAAAAAAAAAACCCTGCAAAATCAACACCCTCTTCAATAATGGGGAGAACTAAACAGGCGATAGAGAGGGAAGTCATCATTGAACAACACCATAAACCAGTCAGACCTGGCCAGTATCCGAGGGGAGCTGAGGCACTCCAAAGCAGAGACACTCTGTCCTCCATGACATTGCCAGTGGTTTCATAAAAGAAGCACCATTAAGGGTGAAAGGATGAAAACACACAAAGAATTACATGCGGATTACGTTGAAATGAAATGTAATGAAATCAGTAATGAGATGGTAAAATCTACAAATAGAGAAAAACAGAACAGTCTTCGATAACCTGTTTCACAAGAAAATGGTTCACAGGGCAAAAAAATCACAAATCAAATTAGCGCACATTCTATAAAACTGATGACAGCCAGTAGCAGCTAAACTCTTCCCTTAAGAAGCCAGAACAGACCTGGTGCCAGGGAAACTCCCAGGAACCCACAAGCATGGCCCCAGCTAAGAGTCCTAGCAATAGTGGAGAGGATGCCTGAACTGGCCTTCTGCAATCAGACTGGTGCATAACCTAACTGTCATCATAGAACCTTCATCCAGTAACTGATGAAAGCAGATGCAGAGATCCACAGCCAAGCACTGGACTGAGCTCCAAGAGTCCAGCTGAAGAGAGGAGGGATTATATGAGCAATGGGGATCAAGATCATGATGGGGAAATCCACAGAGAAAGCTGACCTGAGCTCCTGGGAGCTCATGGACTCTAGACCAACAGCTAGGGAGGCTGAATGGTACCAACCTAGGTCCTCTGCATGTCGGTGGCAGTTGTGTAGTTTGGTCTGTTTGTGGGACCCCTGACAGTAGGACCCAGGACCTGTCCCCGATGCATGAGCTGGCCTTTTGGAACCTATTTCCTATGACTGGCTGCCTTGATCAGCCTCGATGCAGGGGGAGGAGCTTGGTCCTGCCTCAGTTTGATATGCCAGGCTTTGTTGACTCCCATGGGAGGCCTTACCCTTTCTGAGGAGTGGGTTGGGGAATAGAAATGAGGTTGGGGAGGGAATAGGAGGAGAGGTGGGGAGAGGAAACTGTGGTTGGTATGTAAAATAAATCAAAATAATAATAAATAGAAAAGAAGCCAGAACAAAAAGTAAGCAAACAAAGAACAGAGCACAAGCGAGCCAGCCAGACAAACTGAGAGCATGAGAGGTCAACTGACCAACAGATCCAGGCAGCCAGCGGGAAGGGACTGTGGGTTTCATCAAAGTAAAGAGAAGGAATCATCAGATTTTTTTTTTAAACGAAAACTTCCCACAAAGGAAAATCTAGACCTAGATGTTCTCTGGAAAAGATTTGAAGAATAATGGACTCTGACTCTTCATACATGCACACATGCACACACACACACACACACACACACACACACACATACACACAGATGCATATGCATACATATATGCACACATGCATATACAAACATGCATATAGACATACACACAGATGCACACACATGAACATGCAGAGGCACACATGTACACACACATACATATACACAAGCACCCATGTATAAACATATACACATGCTCACAGATGCACACACCCATGCATGCATACACACACATACATATATATGCACATGCCCCTACACACACAAGCACACTTTAGAAAAATGAACTTTTTAAGTGGATAAAGTTTAAAGAATAGTTATAGACTGTATAATCCCCTTCGTATGAGATGCCATGAACAAGTCGATGCTCGCAAGGGAACACTCCGATGCTTTGTGAGGGATGGACAGCAGGTGCTATGCTTCAGGTTTCCTCGGGAATGATAAGAATGTTCTAATTGTAGGTATGGACACCTCAGTGAATGCAATTTTTTAAAAACACTCCATTTTACAGCTTAAAATAGGGAATTTTGTATATCAATGTAAATTACTATTTACTTTTAAAAGAATTCATTGCTAACACTTACTAGCTCACCCTCTGTTAGTCCAGCTAGGATATGGCTCTGTTCTCCACTCGGAGTCTCCTAAGACCAAAATAGAGGTCCTAGTGATCTTGCTGGCACCCGGAGGCCTCTGATAGGCTCACTCTTGTCTTTGCAGTAATGAGGTTTCTTAGAGAGATTGGGACTGTGGTCCCTCTTGTTTTCCCACGGTAACCTGGGACCCCTCTGGATCCTAGGAGGTTCCCACCATCCTTACCTTTTGGCTCAGCCATCTCTGAGTAATCTCGTGGGGAGTCTTTGGGTAAAGCCTAGCGTTTGTTGGAGGTTTGTATTCAGGATAACTTTCATCTCCTGGCAGCATTTACCTTCTCCTGCCAACCTGGTTCAATCTTCCTTTCACAAAGCGGGTGGATGAGCTGGGCAACCCATACCCCCCATGGCAGTGATTCCGCACCCTGGTCACAGTCCTGTGGATGTCTCCTGTATGCGCTGCAGAATATGCCGCCCATCTTATCTTTGACCTTCCTTCCTCACAGCCTTCTTGCTTTAAATCTCCTAGACTGGCCGCTATGCTCCATACATTCCCTCTTTTTGTTTGCTCTGTGGTTGCGGGGTTTTTGTGGTCTGATTTAGACTGAGTCTTGATGTGTAGCCTAAGCTGGCTTTGAACTCTCAACCCTCGTGTCCCAGTCTCCCACATTCTGGGTGTGTAGGTGTGCACCATGGGGCCTGACCTCAGATGTTCTGGGTGCTGTCATGCCCCCAGCACAGAACAGAAAGGTTAAGACTGCCGTAAAAGCACCGTTAGGCACGAGCCCTAGGAATTGGAAGCCCCCTGGGGGGGGGAGGTGCGGGTCAGCACATCAGTCACCCCTCTTTCCTCTGCAGAATTCCTCTGTGTGTTTTTTGTGTGCGTATGCAAAGGGAAGATCGTGTGGGTGGGTGAGAAAGACCACAGTGAGTGGCAGAAGTACTGCTTTATTACTGCTATTGCTTCCAGCTATTCTGCTCAAATACGGGAAATAACATGAAAATCGATAGGACATGATAAAAGTCATGGCTGAAGTGAGGAAGACTGAGCTCAGCCGCATGTCCCTCGGATGCCAGCAAGCTCTTTCCTCTTTCTCTCTCTCTGCTTACCCACCTTCCCGATAGGGTGGATTTATCCACAATGTGCCCAGATTCTGCACGCCTGCGGGGAAAGAGCCTAATTGCAGCCACATGAAGTCTTGAATGACTTGGCTTATTGACATGGCCTCCCTGCAAGAGCGGAGGCCCTAGCCAGGTGACGGTAATTGCCCTCGACAGTACTGTCGGACATGTGAGCTCTGCAAAGGGATTGTGTTCACCAGTCAGAGTTGGAGACAAAAAACATGGCTGCATGGCTTGCCTTTGAAGAAAGGTTTCACCTGCTTGGCAAAAACACACAATGTGGGAAGATAAGACTCACCCCAGTTTCTGTGTGTCAAAACCTAAGAGTTGTGTATCTTATAAATTATGGGCTTATGGACGTGTGAATCTGATTTTAATGAAGAACAAATAACATTTTCACAGGTTTAAAACTAGTTGGCTCTGCGCCAGAGGGCATTTCCTCTATGATGTGTTAGGTCAACCCTCAAGCATCTCCCTGAGATACTTTGCATCCCATTAGCTTGTAGTTGTATAAATAGCATTGCTACCTTTGGATGCTGACAGACATGTGAACCCTGTGGGCCTCAACTTGGTCCTTTCTCTTTCTAGAGCCATAGTTATCTTTGGCCAAAGAACTGGCCACTCACCAAAGTCAACTTCTGAAGCAACAGTCCTTGCTTGGTCAAGCACTCTAAGAAGACAATACTGCTGCTTTGTGTTTGCTTTGTTTTATTATTAAGAGAAAGCTAAGACTCTCACTCTTGCTATCCTTTTCAAGAGAGAATGCCATTTATAACAACACTAAGTAGCATTGAGCACTAAACTCACAGAACGAGCTCTTTGACTAATGAAATTATCCAGTTGTGCATAGCGCACACCCGTAATTGTATGTTTGCATTCCAAAGAAAATCAGAATGTTTTCAGACCAGTGCCTCCTAGTCACTAAGAACCCAGCTCACAACCACTTGACTTTGTGGAAACATTGAGTGGGCACCAAAGACACCAGGGCACCAGCTTCTTCCTGACATGGAGTGTGGAGAGCCCTCGGGAGGTGGTGCGATGTCCCTGGAGAGAGACACTCTCCTCATGACCATTCCACTGGTGGTGACTACCCAACACTGGAAGGACCCACACAATACCTTAACTCACATCCCTCAGAGATGGCTGTTTCCCTCTGGGGGGATGGGTTTCCTCTCATATGTCTTCTATACTTTGGAGCAGAAAGAAGCAATGGAAAGAGAAGTCTCTCAGGACATTGCCTGGAGGGAAGGAGATGGATGAACACACAGTGGACCCAGAGGACCTGCACATTTACCTCCTATTTGCCTCAGAATGGCCTGGCCCACATTTGGGATCCGGACACAGAAGCCTCTGATTCGCTCAGAGCACATCCTTGCCTTCCTCCTGGGGAGGAATTTGGCTAATACCTAGACATAGCTTGAGAGGAAGAATGAAGGTTACCCAGCCTTACACCCAAGCACCGAGTCAGACATGAACTGCGGTCAGCGATAATGTCATTGTAGATGTGAGATAAAGCGGCTAGTTCATACCAGAGTCGAATTCTCAATAACTGGAAATGGGTTTTTCCTAATGTTTAAACATGACCAAAAAAGTCCACCAAAACTGCCCTGTTCTGGAATGCAAAAACAAACAAGCCAAGCAAGTAATAATAAGGGTTCGAGGATAACAATTAGAGGAACATAAACTATTTCCTAAATTGCACGTCGAGTTCAGCCAAGCCCCCTTCACAGACAACCAGGAATGTGCTGGAATGTGTCTATGCAGAGGATCCTCTAAAAGAAAAGTAGATGAAGACAGTCTTCAAAGGGTCGGGGTTTATTAAAAACACCATGTTTATCTGCAGCTAGTCCTGGTGTTCCTTCCCTTTGCCGTTCACTCCCGGTATCTTCAGCATTCCCGTTCACTGTCATGTGTTCAGCCCAGGTCATCCCTGATCCCTGCTGTGGGTTCAGCTCCAAGTTCCTAATGACACAGAGACAGAGGCAGCTGGGGTGAATGTGGGTGAACACAGAGGTTGCTTAATCAAAACACGTCATCAACTAGATGGAATGTTCAAGGATTTCGACGACAAGATAAAGGCTACCAACTCTTGTAAACATGCCATATACAAAAGAGCTTGGGGCACATGACTCTAACTTGGTTTTGAATAGAGAAAGGGTTATGAGTGGCCAGTCAATCTAGCTGAATTAGTGTACTCCACACTAATTTGAGAATTTGCCTCCAAATATTAAGTTGGCAAAGTAAGTGATAAAGACACATGACATCAACTTCTGGACTCCACAAGCATGTGCCCACATAGGTACACGCTCACTTGCATCATGCACACACAGGAACACACACACACACACACGCAGAGAGAGAGAGAGAGAGAGAGAGAGAGAGAGAGAGAGAGAACACACAACTCTATATAGTCATTTTATTAATGAACTGTTTCAATGGATGGTCAATGGATGCCCTGAAACAACCACTGAAGAAACTGGAAAATAAAAAGAAAAACATGCATAATGTTCTGTCTAGACCCCTTTCTATAACTAGTCAAGTGTGTGCATTAGGACAATAAAGTATATTATGGAATTTAAAGCCTCTGGGCTTTGATCTCAGCTCTTCACTCACTATCTATCTGATCATAAGTAATTATTCTAACACCTGTGAGCATCCTTTCTCCTCTGAACCATCCACACTCTGAACTGAGCATCCATCTCCAGGGTTTCAAAGTCAGCACAGCAGCATGACTTCCTGTCAGTGAACTTTAATGTTCATGTTGGGTCTTTCCTGTGTGGTTCCAGAAGGTGAGCAGATTCACTCACTTCAGGCTTCCTGCTGTATCTTTTCCAAAATACAAACTAGATTTTAGTGTAACAGATGTTTGCATGTTATGGGAAGACAAAGCACTGAAATTCTAAGCACTTGCTGAGTTTATTTCCAAGTACCCGAGTCTGGGGCATTCTGGGTGTGTGCAAGGTAGTGGAGTCCTGACTGATGCAACATAACCTGTGCTCATTATTTCATACTTGGCATGTGACCACTGCAGCAAAGATCACTTAGGGAAAGTCAGATTTAATAATGTCTATCTAAAGGTCACTCGCCACTGTCAAAATGTGCTGCTTTCATCAGCGGGCAACTTTCTCATGTTTCTGGGTTGTGCAGGTAAGCTCACTAAGCTCCAATGTCCTTGGCATGCAAAGCCCCTGAAAACTGTCAGGCCACCTTGCAACTGGGCATGATGCCACCCGAGCAGATGGCTTGAGTGATACCAGGCAGCCAGTGCAGGCATCAGCACGAGTACTCCTGAGCACTTCCTCTCTAAGAACATCAGGTGTAGGGCTGGGGCAACTCAGTGGTGAAACATTTTGTTAATGTATTGTAGAGATGCTATCTTTTAGATACAGTGAAGTTGGGAGCCAGAGAATCAAAGATTGTGAGATTCTCAAGGTGAAGAGGCATTGTAAAGGCAAGAGATATCATGCTATACTTGCTGCTCCCTTCATTAATTAATTAATTAATTCTTTCATTCATTCATCTATCCAGTAAGTTCTGATCACCCACAATGGGAAGGCACCACCTGCCTAGACCTGCCCAGACATGTTGATCTGCCACCCCTGCTCAGCTGCCTCTGCTCACAGAAAACTTACCACAGAAGTGAGCAGCCTCCATTGAATACTTAACTTAGATTGCACCCAGACAGGGCCCCTGTTCCTTGTGGAATCCTTTCTAAGATATAGATAGCACAGTAACTGCTGTGAGTTTATGTGGAATTGCAAAAAGGGTTAATATTTCTTCTAGGAACAGAAATATGACTCATTACTTGAGATAATCATCTCCTAACTCCATCCAACTTTATAAAATATAATCACCTGTATAACTCTGGAAAATGAGCAAAATGTGTATTGTATATAACTTCATTGTGACTATGTCCTGAATGGCTGGAGGGGCCACTGTTTTACTATCAGATGTGGCTCTGATCCCAAATCATCAATGTAGTGTCTTAGGAGGTTCTGTGGCCTCAGCTAAAAGTGGAGACGTAGCTGCTGCCATGAGGAGCTAGGGTTAGAACAGGCTGATACCACATAAAGTTATGGAGTCCTGAAAAATCAATTCTATTATCTGGTGTGATACACAATAAATGGTGACAGAATCAAGGAGAAACTTCAAATATCACTCCTGGAAGTAGCCTCATGATAAATGCAGGCTGTCTGTGATTATAACAATGTTACACCTTTAATGGAAAATACCTTGGAAGAAAACTCGGCCAAGGAAGGAAAGTGTCTTATTTAGAATTTCTGATGCTGTGAAAAGACACCATGATCACAGAAACTCCTATAAAGCAAAAACATTTAATTGGGGTGGCTTACATTTTCAGACATTTCATCCATTATCATCATGGTACAATAAGGTGGTGTGCAGGTAGATGTGCTGGAGAAGTAGCTGAGAGTCCTACATCTTGGTTTATGGGCAACAGGAAGTGGTCTGTCTCACTGGGCATGGCTCGAGCATATTTGAGACCTCAAAGCCCGCCTCCACAGTGACATACTTCCTCCAACAAGACCACACCTACTCCAACAAGGTCATCTCTCCTAACAGCGCCATTCTTTTCGGGGTTTGGTGTGTAGCATTTTCTTTCAAACTACCACAGAAAGAAAAAGTACTGCCCATGTATTGAGACTGTCAGATGTTAGCATGATTTAGCCTTGCCTTACACAGGAGAACTTACAAACGACAGAAGTTATTGCTCAAACATCTGGAGCCTGGGAAGGAACTACATCTGGTCCTTAGGGATAGTCCTTTGCCCATTTCCTCACATGGCCTCCCCCCTGCCTCTCCTTTAAGGTCACTGTTTTCACAAATGGCAATGGGGCTTTATGACCTCAGCATTCCACAAGGCTTCCTCATAGCATCATGGGAAAGGTTGCACTAGAATCTCCCGGGTGAGTGTGCATCCTACATGTTGTCCTACCTGTACCTCTTGGGGTCCTCACTCCCCAGTACACTAGGAGCCATCCTCTCCCAGGTGCATTGATGGTCTTTGGCTTGCCTTCCTGGTGTCTCTGTGTAAAGCCAGGGTGAGAGCACTGAAGGGAGCAAAAGAATCCCAAATGGTCCTGTGGTCCACCCTCCAAGAGTCATGGTGGCTCCTATGCCAGAAAGATGCTCCAAGGTTGTGCTCAAGTTCAAGAGATTCCCTCATGGTCTTCTGGAGAGCTGAGCATTTAAGAATTAACACAGAACTAGGCTTTCGTGCCCAGACAGTGGCCATTAGAATAAACACCAGACATGGTAGGTGGGCGAGAATGTAAGTGGATATCATCAGCAATGGTGGGTGGCACTTTCAGCATAGGGTGCTGGTGATGATGTCATTTCTGACACTGAACATTTGTGCACAGTTAGCCTTGGATGGTGCCATGGAATTAATTTTGTCCCTTAAAACAAGCAGGTGTTGATCTCCTAATGTCCATACTTTACTTGTGATGATATCTGGAAAGAAGACCATTGATGGTGCGATTGGTTAAGATGCAGGCCTGCTTGAGTGTACTTGGTCCCTAACCCAAGTCATGCACATCCACAGGAAGAGCACCACACTGAAGCCCAGACAGGGGACTACAGAGATGGGAGCGAGACGCCAAAAGCTAGAAAGGTGCATGGTGTAGATTTTTCCCCAGCCATCAAAGGAACCACCCCCACCACCCCTTTGATCTCAGGCTTCACCCTCCAGAACTGAGGAGTCTCTGTTGCTTAAGACTCTGACTCGTGTAGCAGCAGCTGGAGTGACAACACTGACAGACAAACAGGCAGCAGGTCTGTAATGCACACAGTAGGACTAGAAGAGAATAGTAGGTGCTGCCTGACGGCCATGAGGTCTCCATGTGTGACCCTGTGCCTTTTTTGTTGGGACAGGGGGGAGAAAGTCAGGAAACCTGAATAACTTCAGCTTTCTTGACAGGAGTATACATGAAGCCAAGAGAAATAGCATAACTAATGTTTAACCCTGGTTACCAATTGCTTTGTCAGATACTGACCCAAGCATGTCAATGCCTCTCTTCTTGGTGGTCACAATGGGCTCTCCTTATCTCTCTCTCTCTCCCTTTGCCCTCTTTAATCAACATCCAAAGCCAATCAGATCCATCAATCTAACTGCTCAGTTGTTAGACACTTCCTCTCTCCTCCTAGCCTTGAGTCTTGGAGGATGTCACCGTGTCCTGCCTTGATCACTGAAACTACCATCTACCTCTTCTCTCTAAAGGCAACCTCCTGCCTCCTCCATTCTGCCTTTTTATTTATAAAACACAGCAGAGTGTGCTGAGGACTGTCAGTCACAGGGAATGAAGGCAGAGACAGGAGGATCCCTGGTACTCAGTGGCAGCCAGCTTTGCATCATCAGAGCTCCAGGTTCAGTGAAAGACTGCATAAAAACAAACAAACAAACAAACAAACAAACAAGGTGAATGGCTTCTGAGGAATGACAAGGAGTTGACTTCTGACATACACAGACACAGACACACACATACACACACACAAATGTACACATATATACATGTACACACACACATAATATAGGTATGGCCACACATATATGTACACCTGCTAATGGACATGAGTTGATTCCATATCTTTGTAAACTGTGATCAGTCTTGGAGTGGAGTTAGGTGAGCCACCTTTGAGATCCCATTTCACTTCCTGTGGGTATGTACTCAGAAGTGAGGTGGGTGGACTCTGTTCTAGCACTGTCTGGGGTGACTTTATGAACCACTGTAATTGCAGCAATGTAAATTGGTCCCACTAGTAAACAGGGAGGCATTAGCCACAAGATGAAAAGCTTCAAGCGTACAGTGCGAACAACTATAGACATTGGATGCATAGTGTGGTGGCTGGCGTTAAGGATATGGAATCATGAACTGAAAATAGGCTATGAAGGGAAGAAGAGGGATGGAGGGAGGAGGGAGGAAGGAAGGAAGGAAGGAAGGAAGAATGGGAGGCAGGGGGAAGGGAAGAAGATGATGTGAGAACATGCCCACATTTTACCACATACATATCCAGAAACATCACTATGTGCTAATTATGGAGTGTTCCTATCTGATAAAGCTATCTCGGTAAAGGTAAAAGCAGACACTTGGGAGGAACTGTCTGAGAATGCCAAGTGTTTTCAGTCGACTTGGCTTGGAAGGAAAGAGAGGCTGTCACGAGAACTAGGGGTGTCTGGAAGTACTTCGGTTTGAAGGAGAAGAATGGCTTTTCAGCGGAGATTCTGGGGTTGGAACAGAGCTCAATTTGTAAAGTGCTCAGCAAGTATGAGGTCTTGAAGAGGACCCACAATACCTACTTTAAGGAAGTCAGACATTGTGGTGTGCCATGTAAATTCAGCACTGTGAAGAGCCAGGTTGGAATCCCTGGAGCTCAGTGGCCAGATAGCATATCCATTAGCAAGCTCTAGGCCAATAAGAGACCCTGTCTCAAAATGTTAAAAGGAAATAAAAGATAGATAGATAGATAGATAGATAGATAGATAGATAGATAGATAGATAGATAGAGGAGTGGATGGAGCCTGAGAAAGGACACCAATGTTTGACCATTGGCATGTACATGTGAGTATGTGCATGTGCACGTATGAGCACACACACACACACACACACACAGAGAGAGAGAGAGAGAGAGAAGATTGTGACACTGATTTCCAAAGCATAAGCAGTTTGGATAGCAACAGGATGCTACTATAAACATTTTTGCATGTTTTGTTCACTAACCAGTCTGCCCCTCATGAATTTTCACTCACTTTTCATATTGCTGTTGCACCAAAGGTGGTCTTACCTCACCTGTGAAGGCCCGTGTAATAACAGGGCATCAGTGAGGGGTCATATTCCTGGCATTTTGTTACTTTACAAAATAGACAAGACTATATTCATCAGTATACTGTGAAATATTATTCTAAGTAAGTAAAACTGAATTATACCTGTCAAAACAAAGGAATACTGTACACACCATAATTCAGTATCCCTAATTCTTTTAATTATGCTTTTTCTGCTTGCTAATTTGTAGAATTTGCTAACTCACAATAGGCCCCTCTGTCGCTAATGATAGTGAACCTGGCTCTCCTGTGGGGCAAAGAGGTTTGCATGCTTGGCTCCTGGCATTCTGAATCTTGGGCACCACACAGACTAATCAGTTGGTACTTTTCCTCTCTTTAAGCTGCTTCAAAATACAGATGAATTATCACGTTCGAGATCAGCCATTAGCAGAGGAATGTTCTCTAGAAGGAGGGAAGAGCACCCCATGCTCTGAACTTGGAGATCCCAGTAGAGTGCTGTGGCCACTCTTATATTGTCTTATTTTTGGTGTTGTATATTTACTGATGAGGGTAAAAACCACACCAGAGCTAGTTTCAAATCTGTAGCTCTCTTATCCACACCACTCATTCCCCATCCACAGATGTACAAGTCATACTAGTCTGGAGTCATTTGACAGGCCTGTGAGTCTGGGCAAGACCTAGTGATACCTGTGTCTTAGTGACTTTTCTACTGTTGTGATGAGACATCGTGACCAGGGCAAATTGTACAAGAAAGCATTTAATCAGAGTTATAGTTCCAGAGAATTAGAGTCCACGATGAGGGAGCAAAGCTGTGGTGGCAGGAACAGCTGAGACTTCGCATCTCAAACCACAAGGAAGAGGCAGGGAGACACATTGGGAATAGTATGAATCTCTGGAAACACCAGACCCTGCCCCCAGTGACACATCTCCTCCAACAAGGCCACACCTCCTAATCCTTTCCAAACAGTTCCACCAACTAGGACCAAGTGTTCAAGCCTATGAGCCCATAGGAGCCGTTCTCATTTAAATCACCACAGTACCTCTGCCTTACCTTCTCCAGCAGATCTGTCCATCTCCCATCCAGCTGTCATCCAACTATCTATGAACTATCATGTATTTATGATTGTCTATCATCTAAATACATGTGCATGTATCTATACCTCTATTCACTTATGCATCTATTTATTCCCTAACATCTTTATTAAAAAAAAAAAAAAAGACTTGTGTGTGGATATGTACCCATGTAAGTGCATGTGCCCAAGGAGTTTAAAAGAGTGCATAAGATCCACTGGAGCTGGAGTCATAGATGGTTGTGAACCGACTGTGGGTGTTGGAAACTCAACTCTGTACCCCTAAAAGCTAATGTTCCTAACTCTTGAACCCTCTCTCCAACATACCCCTCTGTCATCTATCTATCTATCTATCTATCTATCTATCTATCTATCTATCTATCATCCATCCATCCATCCATCCATCCATCCATCCATCCATGTATCTATCTACCCACCTACCTACCTACCTACCTACCCATCATTTTTCTATTCTCACTGTGTGTCAGGCAGTTAGGCAGTTTGAGTAGCCTTTTATGAATGAGGAGTTAGAAGGTCAAAGGTGATTGACAGACTTCCCAAGTTTGTACCTCAGCCAATGCGAGATGCTAACAAGCGTCTTTCCATGGCTTTTCTCTTCTGCTCTTGGTTGTGATTGGCTTACATCCAACAGGCCTTAGATTGTCTGTTATTATGAAGAAGAAATACATTAGCTTAGGTGTCAAGGAAATAGGATGTGTCACAGGAGACTGGGGTTGTAAGAAAAGTGAGTCATTAGAGGCAGGAACTAAAGAAAAGGTTCCTTCCTCAAGACATAGTTGTGTTGTTTTATTTCTCTTTTAAAAAAAAAAAAACGTGGATTAAAAATGGGTAAAGAAGAGTGATGAAATTACCCATCAGTATTGCATTTGGGTATTTTTTTTACATTTCAACCTTTCTTTAAATCACAGAGGCTCTGAACCTCCTCTGTAGAACTGGCTTTCCTTTGGTCTTTGGCAGGGCTGGTCCC